CCGGAGGCGGGGAAGGGCCAGGACTCCCCCGTGAGCCTGTCTGAGAGCACGGCAGGTGCCACGCTGCCACGGGGCTGGAGCAGGGCAGTGCGAGTGGCGGTGGTTCCTCCCGTGAGGAGGGTGAGGGCTGGGGAAGGGCCCCGCACGCTGAGGTTCACGGATGAGCAAAGCGGGGTGGGGGGTGGGGGGGGAGGCAGGTGTGGAAGCCGCCCGCTCAGACCCACTGGGACACCCTCCTCACTAGTCTGTCATGTCACCTCTGTGTTCACCCAGCTTCTAATCCTGGTGTGTGTGACTGTGTGTGCATGTGTGCGTGCGTGGGGGTATGTGTGCATGTATACACGTGTGTCTCTCTTCGTGCACAGGCATATGTGCATGTGTGGGCATATGTACATGCACGTGTACACACATGCACACGCACACACACCTCTGCACATGTGGGCATGTGTGCGTGTGTGGACACGTGTGCATGTGTGCAGGTGGGTTTCTCTGTGCAGGCATGCAGGCATGTGCATGGACATGTATGCAGGTGCACACACGTGTCTCTGTGCGGGCATGTGTGCGGGCACATGTGCATGTGTGCAGGGGTCTCTCTGTGCAGACACATGTGCACATGCACACATGTGTCTATCTGTGATGGCACATGGACACGTGTGTCTGGGCAGGCGTGTGTGGGGGCCCGTGTGCGTGTGTACACGTGTCTGTGTGTGCGTGCAGTGAGTAGATGAGAAGTGTGCATGCTGTATGCTGGTGACGGTGGCCACACTGAGGGGTGTGGGGTCAGTATTTGTACTTCAAACTGCCTCTCGCTGGGAACGTGCGCCAGTTCGAAGGCTCTGGGCCTCCTGGCCGAGCAGACTGAGCGTAAACTGCTGCGAATTGTCGCCGACGCACTGGACACTTGCTGACCGGATTCAGACCAGTATCCGAAGGCCTCAGCGACGTGTGTCCCAACCCCGGGGACGTCCTTGCTTTCATGTGGGATTCAGTATCCGCCCTGGCCCGGTGCTCAGTTGGTTGGAGTGTCATCCCATCACCCCAAAAGGCTGTGGGTTCGATTCTGGTCAGGAGACATGCCCAGGCTGTGGGTTCGATCCCCAGTCTGGGCGCATGCAGGAGGCAGCCTGATGGATGTCTCTCTCTCGCCGATCTTTTTTTCTCTCCCGCTTCCTCTCTCCCTACAATCAATTTAAAAAACTTATCCCCGGGTCAGGATTAAGCGTATACATTAAAAAATATCGGGTCATTAAGCCGGAGCCTGGAGGCCTGAGGGCGGAGGCGCGGGGAGACCGGGCCCCTCACCTGTTGCTCCCTTGTTGCTGATCAAACTGCTCAGGATGTACTCGGCTTTTACAAGTTTCCCTGCAAAGAAGCACACGATGCCTCGCGGTCAGCTCTGCGCACACGCTTTACACACAGTCTACCCCGCACATGCCACAGCAGGGCCACGGCCACAGGGAAGCGCTCCGAGTCCACGTCTAACACCAACACCGTCATCGCGTGCGAGAGGGGGAAGGACGGGGGACTCTCAGGAGCCGGGAGGTGGGACGGCTCGTGTCTGCCATGCGATCAGGGTCGCTCCTGAGGACACATCACGGATCCGACCTCCGCGTGAGGATGGCAGCCCTGCCCGCGGGACAGCGTGGCCGGCGATCGGGGCTGGACGCAGGACTCGCTCCCAGGAAGGGCTCTTAGGGGGTGGCAGGTTCTTTCTAAACTTCTCACTGTGTGGGTTACCGCCACGTGGGAGGGGCCTCGCCTGCAGTGGCTGTTCCTCCGTAAGCGGAAACGCGATCACTGACTGTCCCATCCGCCCTCCTCCCAGGCCCTCTGTGACCGGCCCCTGGGATGCCTCCCGATGTCCGATGACTTTTGCTCCGTCTGCCTCGGGCACCGTGGCCTCCTGACTGACCCTCGAACCTGCCCGGCCAGTTTGCTCTGCAGTCTGAGTGTTTGCATCATTCTGGTCTGGAGTCTGTCTGTCCTAAACCTCTGTAAGGCTCAGCCCTGGCTCGGATGTGACTGTCCTAAGGCCCCGCGGCCTTGGTTCCACTGCACACGGTGCCCACCTGGCACTACGCTGTGTCCCCGAAGCAGGTCACACACGCTGTTCTGCGGGGGGACCTGCCAGCCCCTCACCAAGGGCTGGGACTTGCGTGTTTTCCCTTCTCCTCCAGCTAAACTGTCCTGGGACCTGCTGTGACCCAACCAGTACCTTCATGCTCGCTCCCCGCTCTGCCCTGTGCTCTAAGCAGACTATTTTAAAAATATATTTTTTTTATTGATTTCAGAGACTAAGAGAGAGGAGACATCAGTGATGAGAGAGGATCATGGATCGGCTGCCTCCTGCACGCCCCACACTGGGGATCGAGCCCGCAGCCCAGGCCTGTGCCCTGACTCGGTGTTGAACCGTGACCTCCTGGCTCATAGGCCGACGCTCAGTGGGTGAGCAGCGCCGGCCGGGCGAAGCAGACGACTTTTAAGCCACAGGTTTCTCGGGTTTATTTCTGTCCTTTCCGGGTTTGGGGCGCCTGCTCCCTGACTGCTCCGTGCGGTGCTGCCTGTGAACTGTGACCTCAGGCGCCCTGGCGGGCGGTCCCCCGGGGCCTGGTGCGCACTGCTCTGGAGCCCAGGTTTGCACGCGCCCTGCCGGCCCCTGGACACTCCATCCTGATCTAGTTTTCCCTGAGCCGTTTGCGGGGGATTCCCGTGGAGCGGGCACACTCAGGCTCCACATGCACGTTCGGCACAGGCGTGGGGTTTTGCTTCTTTTGGGGGATTTTTTAAAAAATATATTTTATTGATTTTTTACAGAGAGGAAGGGAGAGAGATAGAGAGTTAGAAACATCGATGAGAGAGACATCGATCAGCTGCCTCCTGCACATCTCCTATGGGGGATGTGCCTGCAACCCAGTTACATGCCCTTGACCGGAATTGAACCTGGGACCCTTCAGTCCGCAGGCTGAGGCTCTCTCCACTGAGCCAAACCAGTTTCGGCCTTTTGGGGGATTTTTTTGGCTCCCACCCAACGCGGGGGCAGCCCGCAGGCCTCCCTGTCACAGGGCGGGCGGCGGGGGCTGTGCAGACCTCGGAGGGTCCGGCTTCTGCAGG